TTAGCACAGAAACAGTACTATATAACATTTTAGACACATTCTAGACAGTTTATCAGCTAAAATAAGTTAATTTTGGGGTAAGTTACTCTTTAATGATGCCCTCCACCTCAATGAGGAGGGTCTTCAGACCTGGCTCAGGAACTGACTGCCCTCGTAGGGCAGCTCTCAGTGCTGTCTTCGCTGACTTTACCTCTTGCTCCCAGGTGCCTATGTGGAGTGTGGAGCAGCTGGTGGATTAAACTGGCACTTGGTCTTCTGCTCTGCCATCTGTTCCTGCAGACAAGTAGCCATAGACTCAAAACCCTCTGTTAGCTCACAACTTCCCCCTTGGAAGTTTGCTCCATTGTCACATAGAAGCTTGAATTGTTTGCCTCTTTAGGCCACCAGGCGACGTAGGGAGAGCTGTAAGACATCTATGTAAGATTTATGATTTATTTATTTAAAACAGGAACAATGTAGAGTATACATTAACCTCAAAGGAAAGATGCATTGTACCAGATTCTTGCTCTGGTCCTAATTTCCACCTGTAGGAAAATGCATAAAAACAGCCGGATGCTATTCAATAAATATAATGCATAATTAAAACACCATTAAATATACAATCCAATAGCAAACAACCCCTTTGTAACATCTATATTCTCAGGAATTCACTGTACAATTCATTATCAAACACTGTCAGATAAACATTCCAACAATGTTCAAACACAATCTCTATACAGTGATTCATGACATCCATAATCACAAGACTTCATTATAGGCACCACCACTCGTTTTAGTTCAGGAATATGACAGTGATGAAACAAATGTATTTTCCTATCATGAATCTTGTGAGAACGTTTGTAAAATGACTCCAGTGGCTGTAAAGCAGCTTTGCGCCAATTTTTTTTAAACTAAAAATGTGGGATTATCAATGCATTTAAATACATATTTGATGTCTCAGTGGTCAATGAGTTCTTTTGTCTAAAGTTAACTAAATTAAATTTTACAATGTTTAGTAACTTTTTAATATATTTTTTTAATCCTGAATTTTAATCTAGTTACTAGACTAAACGTCTAGTAACACCTAAATATTTGAATTCAGTGACATTCTTTAGTTTTTTACCTTCTAGCAAAATATCTTAAAGTTAGTGGTCTGCATTGATTTGTCTTATCAGTATTTATGGTTAGACAAGAATTTCTCAACCCCATAGAAACCTTCAGCAGTTCTTCCACTAAATTTTAAGGAACTCCTTTTACAGTTTTCCCATGGTACTATAATACAGTGTCATCAACGTACATTACTATGTTGGCATTATACGCAAACATCAAACATCAGCTTTTTTTGTGGTGACACGTTCTTCTCTCACAGGCGGTGCTCTCATCGAAGGATGATGAAATTTTGGTGTATCAGCAGATGATCCACGGCCTGAGGGAAAAGCTACGCACAGCTCAGCTGGACTTGGACAAAAGCAACATCATTGCCTTGCAGCAGGTTTGTCTGATAATAGCAAATGAATAAAGCCTTCATATTTATGTATGTCTATATCTGACTTCTTAGCTCTTAGACGTTATCAATATTATGCTGCTTGTGTTTCTTGTTAAACCATGTTATAACCATGTTATAAAAATAGAAATGTTTTTCTTGTAGCAAGTCAGCCTAATTTTACAGATTATAATCACATTTTTTTGTCAGATTTATGTTAATTTATCACCTCTACTTACTGACTTTTCACCTGTTACAGTATGTCACAACCCTTCTTGTTTGCCACATTAAATTAGAGAAAATGTTTTTATTTGACTTTAATATTTACAACTTTGGCATCTTTGCATTTCAATTCTATCAATTTGGGTGAGAAACAAACCTGTCTGCCACAGTTTTTTTTGTGTGTGCCCACCTTCTCTTTGTACCACTTTGCTCCCCATTATGCTACAGTTCTGTGCTGCACAAGGGCAGCAGTAGTCTGGAAACGACATGAGCCAAGGCTGACGTGCATAAACGGCCATGGACCCCGATCATAACTGCTTCAAAGTTCTAGTTTTCAATTCAAATTCAATTCAAAAATACTTCATTGATCCCAGAGGGAAATTAGGAAATTAGGTTTAATATTGTTGTTAATAGTCCGGATTGTGCGTATGTCCAGCTAAAGCAGTCGCCGGTCCATCTGTCAAGCTTCAATAGGCACAGCCAAATACAAAAGTACAAAAATTCCAGTTATGCACCAAATGGGACAGACTATTTACAAAACGACCATTGTTGTGGCAATATTTATTTCACAAAAAACAGACGTACATGATATGAAAAACAAAGTCCCTTTGTAGAATGGTCATCATGAGTTTGTTTATTGACAATTTATTGATTTTTAAACAGGAACACAGAAATCAACACAGAGCCATCAGGCTCTGTCAAGGTCTGAGGTAAACAGGTAGTTCTAATGGCTCTCTATTTGTACTGTTTCAACATACTGATCCTATCTTGATTTCACTTCAGGCCCTGTACTGGGTCAAGGTAAAATAATGGTGGTAATTACAGCCGATCTTGTCCTGGCCAAAAACATCCCTTTGTTGATAAACAAGAAAAGAGTTGTCACAGTAAAGTCGATGTCATTGGGTCAGTAGAATATCTCACAACCTACTGACCTAGATCAAGAAGTATTTTTGAATTACACCACCACAGATCAGAATTGTTAGTGGTAGCTGGTAGTACTCTTAGTAGCTCTTTGAGGGCAACAATTACTGTGAAGATGCTTTAAAGACAAAAGCCTTTGCAAGGAATTACCTGTGTGTCAGATCCTTGACGTTATGCTAGGAACGTTCATCCTCAGATTAAAGGTAAAACCTATATTTTAACTGCAACAAGCTGCTTCTCGTTTACCATGAACACACAAAAAGAGATGGAACAGCTTCCAATAATACCAAGAACTGTGAAAAGGCGTTTTCAGTCCAAAACCACCTCATAATGATTCATTGGAATAATTTTAAACGTTTCTGAGCCGGCCCTTCTATCATCTGACTATGTTGAGCTTTTATATCTAGTTAGTTTGTGCTGCTACCTTACTTTTACTGCAGTAACCTTTTTGCCTTGTTCCAAGTAGAATTCCTTTTTCCTTTTTTCTTTCCTGTTTTCCAGTTTTTAGTTTGTTTTTAGCCTATTTTATTGTACTTAGGCTTTTAATTGTTTGATCCTTTAATTGTCATTGTGTGTTTTTGTTTTTTCCATGTGAAATACTGTGGTCAACACTGTTGCTTTTAATTGATTGATTGAGTTAAAACAAACTTGAAAATTTGCAATTACTGGAGCTATTACAAAACATAAAAGCACATCAATGTAGAATTATACTTTTTTTCACTTGGTGTGGAATTTTCTAAATGTTATTCTGTGTAAATTTTTTTTGTTCATCTGTCCATTTTTTTCTCCTGACTTTCCTGTTTTCCACTTTCATAATATTTCCCCTTTTTTGAACCTGTCTTATTTTTCATCTCTATCACTGCTTCTGGTCAGGTCATATATGAACTCTGTGGTGTAAGTTTCATCCATCATTCTGTCTCTTATCCTTAGCCTCTCCTTTTTTTTTCCCTACTTTTGAAAAGTGTCTATAGTTAAGTGTTTTTACAGCTCTGTTTAGTGCTCTGCATAAATTCTTATTATTTGGAAATGTTGGTGATTACTCCAAAGGCCGTCCAAGAGCGAGATAATCAGATCAAGATGCTGAGCGAGCAGGTGGAGCAGTATACAGGAGAGATGAAAAAGCATGCCCAGCTCATTGAGGAGTTAAAGACCACGAACAAAGAGAAAGGTCGGTGGATTTCTGCTTACAGTTATTGTGCATCGTGTCTCAAAAGTACTTTCTGCTCGATGTGGCTTTTACTGGTTGTTGCTAAGGCTGTGTATTGACAAGAATTTGGTGATACAATACATATCGTGACAGAGGGGTCACAATATGATATATCACGATATATTGCGATACTGTAAACAAGGCGATGTATTGCAATTTTTTTGTCCAAAAATTCTATTAAATAAAAACTGTATGTTTTGTATGTATTTTATTTGTTTCATATTTCTTATTTCATCCATGTTTTCTATTATTAGATTAAATTTGCCAATACATAGTTTGAAAATATATTTGTGGCAGCTTTTAGATTTTAATATTAATTTACTATAACAAAACTGTCACCCAACACACTTAACAACAGCCTATATGCTGTCATAAAGTTCAGTAAACAGATGATATGAAGCTGCTGAACACAGAGTTTCGCCTATGCTCGAGATGCTAGATGCTTGTGCTAGACGCAAGCACCTTCCGTAGAGGGGCAGCTGACTACAGTCTTAAAAATCGCGCCCCAAATGTGACACTGCAATTTGGCTTAAAATACAGACATTCTGACTAATAAGGAACTGTTGGTAACCTTACCTCAGCTCAGTGAGTGTCGGTCTTTTCCGCTCTGATTCAGCTATTGGTGTATGATACTAAAGTTTAGTCACGATGCTAATGCTACTGTTACTCTCTGTCTCACTGCTGCCAACTAGCGGTCAGAGGCTGAACTACAACATAAAAATGAACGATTGGCAGGAAAATTGACATTTTAAACCTTATTTAAAAATCGATACAGGGCTTTAGAGAATTGATACAGTATGGGGAAATGAAATATCGCAATATTTCAGTGTATCAATATTTCCTTACACCCCTGTTGTTACGCTATTTTCTTACAGATGAAGACTGACAGATTTATGAATTTTTGTGCTTTGTTTCATAGGGCTGTGTATTGGCAAGAATTTGGCGATACGATACATATCATAACAGAGGAGTCACGATACGATATATCCCGATATATTGCGATACTGTAAGCAAGGCAATATGTTGAGATATATTGTGATTTTTTTGTCCAAAAATTCTATTAAATAAAAACTTCTTACTGACAAAAAAAAAAAAGAAACGCTAATGTTTACTTACAATGCTAATGCTACCCTTTCTCTCTGGCGTTCAAGAGGTAGAGGAGCCAAATGGCTGGCTCACTACTGCCAACTAGTGGTCAGAGGCTGAACTACAACACAAAAATGAACGGTTGGCAAGAAGTTTGACATTTTAAAGCTTAATTAAAAATCGATACAGGGCTTTAGAATATCGATACAGTATCGGGAAATGAAATATCGCGATATTTCAGTGTATCGATATTTTCTTACAGCCCTATTGTTTCAGCCACTTTAGGTCTAGTTACTTAAACAAATAATTGATGGCAAGTAATTACCAGTTGCATCCCTGAACTTGAAAAAGCTACCAACATAATAGACATAATAATAGATGCTTTCAGATAAATAGAAAGCTGAAACAAAATTGGAGGAAAATGTTTTAGAATGTACTCACAAAGCCTTTTATTTTATTAAAATAACTGTGATGAATGTCAAGCCACAGTTTTGCTTTCATGTAGCATGACTCTGGTTTACAGCTGCACTGCTCTGATTGGTGTTGTCACGCACAGCAGGCAGCTGCTTTTAGCTGGAAAACTTTTAAACGTTCTGAAGCCAGATGTTCCTTTAGAAAGTGCTGGGGACTTGAACACAGTTGACAAGACAGGAAATTAGGGGAACAATGGGAAGAAAGGTAATGCTAATGCCCCTATACATGCAGGATTAATGTATACACAACCTTTGATCATTTTAGTAACTTTAAAATGTGAAAACGTGACATAATTATTTAATAATTTCTTTTGACACTCGTAATTTCAGATTAAAGCTGCATTTCTTACAACTAAATTTCCTCTCTAAAGCCAAGTGATACATTGGCATTTAATGTCTCATCTGAAAAAAAAAGTTTTGATTTGTAAATTATAGAAGAAGAATAAGTGATTAAAACTATTAAAGCTGTTGCAGGTGGCTCAATAAGGTCATCATGATATGAACACACACTTGTGTCTCTCACTCCCTGACAGCGCTCTTAATATGACAGGCAGAAAAAAAATAAGCCTCAAAAAACAAGCACTTTGAAAAGTATACAGTGGTTTGCAAAAGTATTCATACCCCTTGAACTTTTCCATATTTTGTCACATTACAAC